TTATGGGGTTATGGGGTTGTGGGGGTTACGGGGTTACGGGGGTTGGGGGGGTTGGGGTTGTGGGGGTTACGGGGGTTGGGGTTGTGGGGGTTGGGGTTGTGGGGGTTGTGGGGTTGTGGGGTAGGGAGTGGCGCTAGGGTCACAGTTAGGCAAGCTCTCCATCAGCTGAGCCGTGTGCCTAGCGCTGAAGTGGCTCTTCAAAGAAATAAAGCATGATGGTCCAGTCTTGGTATACTACATGCAACTGGAATTAATAAAGCCTGGAAAACCATGCTGTGTTCCATTATGATTAAAAAGCACAAGATGAGTAGTTCATTTGTGCTCAGAATACCCTCACACAGAAGGTGCTTTCAGCTTTGCATTTTGACCTTTCTGACCACCTTCATCCAGCAGTATGGTGCTCAGTACCATAGTGAACCAAATAGTAGAACAGATACAGTGCTGCCATGTGCATTCGCATTTGAGATTAGTGCTACACTCAGCCTTCATCAGAGCTGCTCAACTGCCAGGAGTGGCAGCTGCTGTAGAAACCTCAAGCTAGCCAGACTGCAGAGAATAAGTGATGGCGACATATTCCGCTCTAAACGGGACCCTGTGTCACCTCCAAGGCTCAGGGACATCATAAAAGGAAGCTGGTGCAAAGAATGTAAGCACCAGAGGATGGGGAGATGTGTAGGCCGTTTCTCTGTCCTGGTTGCCAGTTCCCAAACGACCAACACACTCTTTTCCTAGCTAACTCTTATATTTAAATTAACCCATATTTCTTATCTATTCTTTGCCTCCCTCATGGCTTGGTACCTATTTTCAATATGGCAAGTCTGTCTTGCTTTTCTCCGTGCCTGATGGTGACTCCTCTGACTCCACCCTTCTTCCCATAATTCTCAGTTGGACTTTTCCACCTAACCTTATGTGTGGAGAGCTTCAATGTGCCGCTCATTAAAGATGGCGCGGGCTTTCGCCTAACACCCTCCTGACGGTGAGCGCTCTCGGAGTAAACAACTCCATATTTGGTCAAGGCTCGGGTCCACGGCTTGCTTCCTGTGTATGTGGACCTATCTGCTGTTGCCAAGTGGCGTGCTGGGGTTGGCTATGCCTAGGCCATATAAGCTGTGGGCTGGCTTTCCCCGGGGAGAAGACTGTTTCAAGGTTCCTGAATAAACTGCTTGGAGAGGAGTTCCCGAGTCGCGTCTTCTTTGCTGGTCGAGGTGGTCGCGACACTTATGCTGTTCTGCTGTTGGCCAGCCAAGTCAGCTTCTTTTAGACCCAGTCACGTGGTACATCTTCACAGTGAACAAAAGGATGATTCCACAGCAGAGATGAGCCTTTTCATATGACAGAGCTATTTACTCCTGAACTCACTACAGTTGTTGGTATCTTCACAAGGATTGGGCTTTCAACGTTTTGTCACAGATGGGAAGGAACCATCAGACCCTGCCTCTCCATGACCAACTATTTGCCGTTAATGGTGGCTGAAGGACATAATTTCCTTCAGTGACATATATACTCAGAAGTTGCCCATGCTCTTGCAATTCTAATTCAATATGGCGGGTCACACACAGAAGACACAGAGGCAGGGTTAGGGGGAACTTGTTGACAGGAAGAAGAAGGAGAAGGAGAGGGGTGGCAGGGAAATGGGAGGCTGTGAAACTCTAGAATTCATTATGCACTTGTAGGAAACTGTGAAGGTGTAAAACGTGGGGAGAATACAGTGCTCAGGACAGTTTTGTAGGAAACTATGAAGGTGTAAAACGTGGGGAGAATACAGTGCTCAGGACAGTTTTGTAGGAAACTATGAAGGTGTAAAGCGTGGGGAGAATACAGTGCTCAGGACAGTTTTGTAGGAAACTATGAAGGTGTAAAGCGTGGGGAGAATACAGTGCTCAGGACAGTTTTGTAGGAAACTATGAAGGTGTAAAGTGTGGGGAGAATACAGTGCTCAGGACAGTTTTGTAGGAAACTATGAAGGTGTAAAGCGTGGGGAGAATACAGTGCTCAGGACAGTTTTGTAGGAAACTATGAAGGTGTAAAGCGTGGGGAGAATACAGTGCTCAGGACAGTTTTGTAGGAAACTATGAAGGTGTAAAGTGTGGGGAGAATACAGTGCTCAGGACAGTTTTGGCTGTGGGAACATGTGCACCCATCCAGCCATTTGTGGTTGGCGTCTTCGTTTAGCTAACCCGCTGTCCCATTTACCCCTTCGAATGTCCTCACTCAGGGCCTGGTGGGGTTCTTTCTGAGGAGCGCAGGTAACAGTGAGAGGCTGTGAAGAAGAGACTGGCTGATTGTCACCACACTGTCTGTAGTGGGCTGCGAGCAGGACACAGCAAGGCAGGGGGACGGCTTGCCGGGAATCTGGCTGTCCTTGTCTGCTTGTCTGGTGTGTCACATCGAGAGCTCTGCTGCTTGCGGTGTCTGTGGCACTAAGGGTGAGCTGATTGAACAAGCGCTGCTGGACCCACATAGTGGATGGATAGAACCAATTCCTTCACATTGACCTCTGACCTCGACAGGTACTCCCCCTCAGTAAAAGTAAAAAGTTACATACAAGCATACAAACATTTAACTTAGAGGAAGAGTACAGTGTGACTGGTAAGGCTTTATGTGGGACGAGGCATAGGCTGAGCTGTCAGGGAGAGACCCAGAATGCAGTAGGGCACAGGTTCAGATGAGCGACAGCCATGCGTAAGGGCGGCCGAGTGACTCTGCTTTTCCTGGTGTATCGCGCTGTCTGTATCCAAGCGTTTTCCCCAGCTCATAGCATCCCATCACCAGTGGAAGTGAGAACGGATCTAGACAAGTGGCCTGTCTCATGTGTGCCTACACGTCTCATTTGGTGAGAACGTAGATACGTGGTCTCACCTGGTGTGGCAGTCACAGTTCTAATCGTAGATGTTTGAGTTCTCTTCCTTTGGGCACTGGCCCGGTTTCATTTCTGTTGCTGTGACGAAGGATCCTTATAAAAAGTAACAGAGGAAAGAGTTTGTTTTGGCTTGGAGTTCCAGGTCACACACCGTATCTCCAGGGGAGTTTCAGCAGCAGGAGATTGAGAGACAAGTGCACGCGCTGTTTACATGCTAACATTCAGCTAACCGTATTCTCAGAGAGCTGGGGGCGCAGCCCATGAAATGTGCCACCCATGCTGGGTTAGGTCCTCCAACATCAGTTGATAGTCCCCACACGCATGGCCACGACGGTTACCTGTACAGCTCTTCCTGGGCAGCTATAGGTCGTGATAAGTTGACCTTTAAAACTAACCATCTCAGGCACATTCAGATTTATTTTCTTTAAAATCCACTTGTGGGTGTGTGACTTGCTTGAGGAGTCAGTGAAATGAAGTGACAGGCATTGCTGATTTCCAGAAGGTAGACCAGTAGTTAAAACAGGCACCGTGTATAAAGAAATGGAGAGAACAGATACAGATATTCTTTTAGTTGCAGCCAGCAATTGGGGACAGCTGGCAGAAGGTCCTAGATGAGGTGTGTGCTGGCGGACGTGGTCTAGTAAAGAGGAAGAGATAGGTGGCGCCATCATCGCCATCGTCCCCCTCCCTCGCTCCCCTTGGCCTCCTCTTTCTGTCTTCGTTTTCCAGGCAGTCGTTTGTGTAGCCCTGGCAGACAGTGTCTTGGGGTGTCTGTTGCTGTGATAAAACACTGTGACAAAGGCAGCTTACAGAAGAACGTGTTCCATAGGGTCAGGGATGGCAGAGTAGCAGTAGCAGGCTCAGGCAGACAGACCAGCAGCCGAGAGCCTGCGCACAGTGACGCCCTCTCTGACGGGGCGGGGCCGCGGTTCCTGATCGTCATTCCTCAAGAGTTCCGCCTATGGGGACCAAGTGTTCAGTCATTTGAGCCTATGGGGCCACTCGTATGCACAGGTGGTAACTCAGATCAGACACAATCCAATCCAGCCAAGGGGAGCTTTGCAATTTTTATTGTTTCTGTGTTGTGTGTGGTGTGTGTGGTGCACAAGCTGTGTGTGTGAGAAGTCAGTGAACACTCTGTGGAGCTGGTTCTCAAAAGAGAGCTTTTAAGGGACGAGAACACATTGTTTTTCTGTGAAAAACGCAAACCAGGCCAGAAAACTGGAAAAGCCAAGTCCTCCGAGTGGCGTCTTCCTGTGCTCATTCCCGTGCCGACTGCTGCACGCTGTTGTGGCTGTTACGGCCACGTCGCTGTCTCTGAGTCTCCTTTCTCCACAGTCTGTGCGCCTCGCTGTCTGCCTTCTGTTGCCTTTCATTGGTCCCTTTTAGTGCGGTGACCATGGAGACTCACAGCTGCTCTCCTCCTCTGATGCCATCAGTTCCTCTGCCCTGTTCCCCCATCCACATCACTTTCTACCACCTGGAAAACTGTGTAATTCACATATATACTTATTGGCCGGTGTGTGAGAGGCACATTTGTAATTTAATTTTTTGAGATGGCGTCTCACTCTGTATCCAGTGTGGCCTGGAACTTGGAGTAGCCACTTTGCTCCAGCCTTCCACGTCCTGGATTTGCAGGCACAAGCTACTGCACCTGGCTGGGGGTGGTGATTATACTCTGTTGGCAAGAGAACAACCAGATGATGTGTACACAGCAACTAAGGATCTACAGTGTGGTGAGATGGTCAGATGAGATAAGTGTGTACATTTGCGTAATCTATGAGAGCACAGAGAGGGCCAGGTGGTTTTGGGGGCTGCTGGTGGAGTGCATTCTTACTCGTCCCCAACAGTTATGTAAAGGGGTGGGGGAAGGACAAAGGGATTTTCAGCTTTGAGAAGAGCAGATTAAGTGCAGAGCCTTGGAAAGCAGAAGACTCCCCAGTGCAGTAGCGGGTCTCAGGGTGGGAGAGCGCACAGTTGTCGGCTGTGATGCTCTGAAATAGAGCGTGTTTTCCATTCAGGGCTTAGCAGGGCTACAAAGGCGGTGAGGGACTGTGACATACATGACGTGGTTAATGTTTAAACAGTGACGTCTCTCTGACACAGGATCTGCACTCATGGAGAGTAATGTTCTTTTTAGCCTTACCAATAGTTCTCGGGTTGTGGGACTCCTGGCCCAGCTGGAGAAGATCAACACGGATTCCACAGAGCCAGATACTGCCAGATATGTTACATCCAAAATCCTTCATTTGGCTCAGAGTCAAGGTAAACTGGGTTCCCTTCTTGGTTTTGGGATACTTTTTTCATCCTTTAAAAGTAGATACTATGAATGTTCTGATTTTTAAAAATAATTTATTTAACTTTATTTTATGTGCATTGGTGTGAAGGTATCAGATCCCCTGGAACTGGAGTTTCGACCGTTGTGGGCTACCACGTGGGTGCTAGGAATTGAACCCAGGTCTTCCGGAAGAGCAGTCAGTGCTCTTAACTGCTGAGCCATCTCTCCAGCCCCTGTTCTGATTTTTAATAAGAGAAATATTCCAATTTTTGATAACTCGATGTTTTCTGTAAGATGGGTCTTTCTTAGGTTGACTTAGAGAAGTAGGAAGCTAGTGACTTTGGAGAAAATTGACTCTCAGTCAGCTGTTTGGATTTGTCCCCGATGAGATGCCGAGGAACAGATTGTGGAGGAAATATGTATTTTGAGTCTGCTTCAGAGGCCACAGGTCACGGTCAGCTGACGCTGCTGTTTCTGGCCCTTCAGGAGGCCACAACCATGATGGAAAGGGTGTGGGGGAGCCAGGCTGCTCACTTCTCAACAGCCAGGAAGCAAAGACGTCCTGCATGCATGGATATGCCCTTCATTTTATTCTGTCGGAAATCCCAGTGTACTAGGTAGAGCTCTCTCCCCTTAGTTACTTGCCTCATAGACATCCCAGTCCAGAGTAGCCATCACTAAGCACCGAAACATACTTTGTGCCTAATTCCCAAAGGAGATCCTAACTTTACAGTTCTGTCTGTCACAACATCATTAGGCCTTGTGAAACCACACCCATAACAGTTTCTTCCTCAGGTCTCCACAGTTCCAGTATTGCTCACAAGTCTAAGCCTGAAGGCTCTTGACTCAGACTCTTAGATGTGAGCCACACTAAGACCCACAGAAATCCACCTGCATCCAACACACAGTGATGGACAGTGCTCCTTCTCATCCTGGTAAACGCTAGGCTCTTCTGCTCCACGCCTGATACATGGGCCCTGTGCTGGCGTGATGTGAGCTCTCAAGAGCTGCGATCACCTGTCCCTGGAGTGTTCCCAGCTGTAGTCCATCTGGCTTCTTCCCTGTGGGACTCTGCTCTCTGCTTCAGATTTCCTCATCAGGCGTCCGTGATTCTGGGGTCTCTCTGGTTCTGAGAACACTTATAGGAAAGACTGACAAATTAGAGCACATGGATGGGTTTTGTTGCAAGGAGGCCAAGAAACTATGGTGTTTATTTTTCATCTTCATGAATTTTTGGTTTTTTGAGACAGGGTTTCTCTGTGTAACCACCCTGCCTGTCCTGGAACTTGCTCTGTAGACTAGGCTGGCTTCGAACTCACAGAGATCCACCTCCCTTTTCTTCCCAAGTACTGGGATTAAAGGTGTATGTCACTACTACCTGGCAGAAGTATGGTGTTTAAATGAATTTTCCATATGAATGTCAGAGTCAGAGATCGTGGGAAAACCTCAAGTAGAACGGAAAACTGTTAGTTTCACACTTTGTTTTCATTTAGTGTCTAGAATCACAAGATGATGGTAAGGGGCTGAGGAGCTGAGGCTGTGTGGGACTGTGTTCACAGGCACAGGTCTCAGCTGTTTGAAGCTAACAGAGCAGTGGCTCATTAGTGGCTCATTAGTGGTGCAGAGCTAGCTTCCTCTGGGGGAGGACATCTGTAACATTGTATCAAAAGTGACTTGGTTACACTCGCCACCAGCCTTATCTCTATACCAAGGACGCTCTTTGAAACAGTATTTTGTTTTCTTGTAAGACCTAATACCTTTTGGTGGGGACCGCTGGGCTGAGTAAAAGATAAAAGATAGTTTTGAATGCCAAAGCAATGTGTACTTAAAAAAAGAAAGACTTTCACCCGGGCGTTGGTGGTGCACGCCTTTGATCCCAGCACTCAGGAGACAGAGGCAGGGGGATCTCTGTGAACGCGTATGCCTGTAGGTAAGTTTGCCATGCTGTTAGCATTAGCAGAATATAGCAGTGAGCAGACAAGAGGGGTGGTTTCATGGCTTCGTGACCTTTATGGAGATGTCTGGTTTGAATGTACAAGGCTTCTTCAAGTGTGACAGTCACATGGACTGGACATGAGATGATGGAGGTCACTGTTAGAGACAGCTGCACAGGTGTTCGTTGCACAGGGTACATGGTAACTGTCCCAAACGGTGTTACGCTGAAACCTTTGCTTACATTTGTCCCTCTAATGATTTCCATGTGACAGCATCTTCCCTGAGCATGGGCCACAACAGAGCTAAATTCTAGAGAAAACGCTGAGAGTAGAACTTGAATTAAGGTTTAAAAAAACCAACACAAAAGAAGGCAGTAGAGGGAGAGATGAATGTAGGAGACTTGAAATACTTACGCCCATTCGGTTGATATTTTCCTCTCGTGCAGTCCTCTGCTTCTAAAGTCCCTTGATTATCTCCATATGAAGCACAGAATTTAGTCCTCCTGTCTTTGACACTTAATTGTAGAGGACATACAAATTAAGGGCGGATCCCTTGTCTTTCATTTTTAAGATCTTAGAATGTTGAGATTAATGTCATGGCCCCCACATTAACAGAGTTCTGACATTAGTACCCAAGTCTGAAAAAGTAGAGAAGGGCTCCAGACCTCTGCAATCCTCGTATCAAAGAATGATTCCTGTTCCTCTGGGAAGTCTGCAGAGTCCTTAGCTGCCCTGAGCTCTGGCTTGTCTGCCTCATTCATTCCCGGGATCACTCGATAGACCCTTCTCCATCTTCCTGTGCCACCGCAGAGATGACGTGGTGAAGTACATGGCATGGGAATGGTTGGCTCTTGTCATGTATTCTATGTCTCTGTGAGGAAGATGCAGGGACTTCTGAGTAAACAGGAGTATTCGCACAGTTCCCGTCCCAGTGGTAAGGACAGTCATTGTTATGATGGCGCCTTCAGATTCTCACAGTACAGCCCTTCCTCAGGTGGCTCCCTTGCTTGGTTCCGACTTTCAGTTTGGAGTGAATATGATGGAAATGTCTGAAAATGGCCCTATGGTTTCCTTTTGATGAGCTGTTTTCAGTCTCTGCTCAAGGTGACAAAAAAAAAGCCGTCTGTCATGATTTCTACTTCCATAGCAGCTCACTGCCAGCTCCAGCTCTAAGGTTTTTGAAAGGATTGATGGGGACTTATCATAGTCCATGATATTTAAGAAGAGAAAGTCTTGTTAACAAAATGGAATCGCATTTTGTTAGTAGTGTAGAATTAGTTGTATTAGAGGGATAGACATCCAAGAGTCAGCTTAAATTGTACACAGTGTCATCTATATGCATCAAAATGTCATGTTTTTTGTTTACATTTACAGAAATCATTTTTTACCTTTCAGAAAAAACAAGGAGGGAAATGACAACCAAAGGTTCTACAGGCATGGAAATTCTGTTGTCAACATTGGAGGTAGGAACGCCTTTAGTGTCCAGCTGTCACAGGAGGGATATTCAAGTTATTAACACACACACACACACACACACACACACACACACACACAGACAGCAGGAGGGATATTGAAGTGAACATACACATGTGAGTGCACTAGTATGTATTGTGTAAACATACATTTTCTAATGATTAAAATAACTGACACACAGTAGACACTGTGTTCCTGTTGTGTATGTGTAGGCGCACACCTGCCATGGCGCATGTGGACACCGGAGGGCAGTGTGGGGAGTCGGTTTTCTCCTCCCAGCTTCCTGTGCTCTGAGGATCAGGGTCTCCAGGCTTGTGCAGCAAGCACGTCTCCCTGCAGGCCAGCTGGTTGGCCCTACATTTAAGTCCTTTTTTCTTAGTGCAGAGCTTATTTTATTATTTTAGTTACGTGTGTGTTCTGTGTGTGTGCATGAGAGTGCAGGTGCTGTGGAGGCCAGAGGTTGTCGATCCCCTGGAGCTGGGGTCTGGGTACTTGTGAGCTGCTTAGAGTGGGTGCCCGGCGGGTTAAAGCACTCGCTGCTGGGTCTGATGAGTCCAAGGGTCCACAGGGTAGAGGAGAGAATCCATGTGTGCAAGTTGCCCCAGGAACTCCATGCCCACCTCTACACACAGAAATAAGTACCTGTAAGAAAGATGATGGTGTTGAAGCTTTAATAAAAGTGTAGTGGAAGTTAATACAGTCGTGCCTAGAGAAACTATGACGGTCATTTGTTAGACATAGGTAGTTCCCAGCAGGCTAAAATATTTGAAATAAAAAAATAGTGTTTTAATAAAGCAAATCAACTGTTTGTTTCAGAACACGAAAGATCTTCAAACTGTACTTAATATCCTAAGCATTCTTGTCGAGTTGGTATCTTCTGGTGAGTTTTGATTTACTTTGATTTAATTTGTGTTTGTAAATAGTGACCAGCTCTGTGTCCTGTGTAGTTTATTTAATGTTTCTTGACATTAAAATTTTAGAAATGAAACAGCGTGAGCTTGTTGCTTCCTATGTGAGGGAGTGGGGAATATGTGTATGCCGGGAGAAGGCATTGGGTGTTGGACTTTGTTACTCGATACCTGAGTCCCTCAAACAGGGTCTGAGGCAGGAACTTAAGGTTTTCAGCCTGGCCGTTAGCCAGCGTGTCCCGGTGCCTTCCTGTCTCTGTCCACAGTGCTGTGAGGCTCCCAGCTCAGTACACGGGCGGCTGGGACTGCCTTATGGTGGCAGCGATCGATCTCTTACCCATGAGCCGTCTCTCCAGGGCAGGCTTTACTTTCAGTCTCTCCAGACACTCTCAAGTCTCCTTGCCTACTTACATAGCACCTGGAGCCTAGAGTCTTACTGTCATTTGTGTTCTTTTTTTTTTTTTTTGTATGCTGTATTTTAGATAAGTAAGTGAAACACAACAAAATAGGAGCTGAGTATGGTGACACATACCTGTCTTTCCAGCATTTTCAAGCCGGGTGCAGGAGATCACGGATTTTAAGGCTAGTTTGGGCTATAATGGAATCCTGTAACCAAAACACAAAATATGATTTTCATAGTATTTAGTCTTAGAAATCAATGATTTTGATTGAAACTTTTTTGAATGCTAACTAATTGTGATGCCTGCTGCGGGACGGTGTGCTGTTTGCTCTCTCTCTCTCTCTCTCTCTCTCTCTCTCTCTCTCTCTCTCTCTCTCTCTCTCTTTCTCTCTCTCTATATATGTATGTATGTATGTATGTATGTGTGTATGTATGTGTGTATGTATGTGTGTATGTATGTGTGTGATTTTTTTTTAATTTTAGGTGGAGGTCGAAGAGCAAGTTTCTTAGTTGCCAAAGGTGGTTCACAGATATTGTTACAACTTCTTATGAATGCCAGCAAGGAATCCCCCCCACATGAGGAATTAATGGTGCAGACCCATTCCATTCTTGCGAAGATTGGACCAAAAGGTGAGAGTTCCATTTTTATGGTTATTGAATCCAGAACTATCTGTAACTTTTAATCTTTATGTCATTTTTTTTTGAGACTGGGTTTCTATGTACAACTCTGGCTGTCCTGGCACTTGTTTTGTAGACCAGGCTAGCCTTGAACTCACAGAGATCCACCTGGCTCTGCCTCCTGAGTGCTGGCCTGGCGAATCTTTAATCTTAAACTGCTCATATTTTGAAATGTAAAGCACTACTTCTTCTTGGGTTTAACAGTGGAATGTTTTTACAGTTAACCAGCAAGAGCTGAGGGTCTAAGATTCATAAAGCATTGTTTCGAATGTGGTATAAAAGGGAGGAATGCCAGTATCACAGTGTGTTAGTGCTTGTTTTGCCCGTATGCGTGTATACGCATGTGTCTGTATGTATGTGTACACCCACATATACACACAGAACACGATGTGTGTTCCGGGGAAATTAGAAGGAGGAGTGTGGGTGCAGTGTGTGGAAGTGTTGCAAGTGAGCGTGTTGCTGTGACAGCGTTTTCACTGCTGGTCACATTTGTATGATGTGCAGTTCAGTGCTCTGGCAACTTCCAAAGCAGACCGGAAAAGTTTTGAGGGTCTGAGCTGTGGAGAGACACGTGAAATACGGAAAGTGCAGTGAATAAGGAGGGGCCTAACTCAGTGTAGAGGTGTCAGTGTGTTGTCGTAGCTTTGGGAGTCTTGATGGGAACATGCATGTCTGTCTTAGTGTAGTGTGCAGGTGTTAGCTTGTATCATTAACAGATCATGTTCTAAAGAATGGTGTGGTGACCTTGAGACCAAGTCTAGTACTGGTCTGTCTTGGCTGTTACTCTTCTTTAACTTCTGTGCTTGAGACTCATAAATTCCTTTTTTGATATTTTTGTAGAAAATGAAATAAAGTTTTATATATTGGTAAATAAGACAATACATTCTTCTTCTGCTAATTACAATCAAGTTTTTTACTTTTCATGGAATTAAATTAAGATATCCCTGTATCTGTTTCTTCCATTTTAATTCATAAGTCATCTTTATTTTATCTTGCATCTTAAATTTGTGCATTCCCCATTAATATTTGTACAAGTTTCCTGTTCTTATGTTGTTCATTTAGGTTGCACAGTAATTTCTTGTGAAATAAAAGTTACTTTCTTTCCCTTAGGAATATTGAATTCTTTCTGCCTTAAAATTTGACTTACTTCTGCTGGTCCCATTACTTAATATTCTTCAGATTTTGTTACTTGTTATTATTTTTTATTTTTGTGATCTCTTTGTGAGAATAAAAATCAGGAACTTCTGTTCTCTATAGACATAGTAATGCTAACAAGTAGAAATGTTCATGACCTTGAACTGCACATATTAAATATATATGTATTAAGATATCACTCTATTCTTTAAATTGTATAATTATTATTTTAATCAAAAATTAAAAATAAAATATTTAAGGAGATGGAAATGTTGTAGCGAGTTATCACAATAGCTCTTCTATTTCCTCATGAATTTTTAAAGGACTTATTTTTATCTGTGTGTGTGTGTGTGTGTGTGTGTGTGTGTGCGCGTGCGCGTGCGTGAATGCAGATGCCTGAAGAGGCTGGAATTGTCAGATCGCCCTGGAACTGGACTTACGTGTTGTTGGGAGGTGCTTGCTGCGGGCCCTGGAAGAGTAGTCAGCACTTGTGACTGTTAAGCCATCTCTCCCCCTTCCCACTTAGAAATTTTTTGTTGTATTTGCCACAATATTTTCTATTTTAAGATATTCATATTTACGTTTGTTTGTTTTATAGGTGTGAAAATAATATGTTCATATTAAATAATACTGGCAATGCTTATTAGGCTGTTTGCTCTTCTTCCTACCTGCATCTGTGGGAGGTTGTATGAATCAGACTTATTGGCTAGTGGATCAGTTATGTTCTCCTTGCATGGGACCGCATATGCTGAGCTAGTCTAGCATGCCACCCCCCCCCGCTTACTCTCCTCTCTCCTGCCCTGCTGTTGTAGGATGTGCTGCAGAAGGGTAAGGGACATTAGAAGTTGCACAGAAAAGACCATCATCCGATCGGATGTCCCACATGAACGCGTAGCACAGGTTCAATGTGCTGCTGCTGGTTTGGCAGTTCTGTGGGTTGCGCCCAGGGCCTGGCAACCCTAGACCAGCCCTCTATCAATGGGTTGCACCCTTAGTCTTCATTGCTTTCTGCTGCGTTTGTGCAAAAGTGTAATGTGAATGAATTTGTTTTTAACAGATAAAAAGTTTGGAGTGAAAGCTAGAGTTAATGGGGCACTGAACGTAACTCTGAATTTGGTCAAGCAGCACTTCCAGAACTATCGCTTGGTTATGCCTTGTCTTCAGCTCCTTCGAGTGTATTCTACCAACTGTGAGTACTCAAGGGCGGCTGTGACTTACCTACTCGGGGGGGGGTGTGACGTGACACAAAATGAAGTCTATAAATCTCTAAAATGTGTGGGAAGTGAACATTAACATGACTCAGAAGTCAACAGGAGTGACTTGGAGTAAGAAGGTGAGGTGACAAATGTTGAAAATTCTCACCAGTTCCTTGAATTTGAAAGGGATTGGGTTGAGAGGAGAGCCTGTGGAAACGTTGCAGTGGGAGAGCGTGGTGTACTGGCCACTGGGAAATGCTTCTGTCTGTGTGACGTGACAAATGGAGCCTCCTGGGAAGGGGCTCACTAAGAGAGTCTAGATCGGCTGCCTGTGGTACTGATGTGGGAAGACCCTCCCCTTGTGAGCGACTCTGTTCTCCAGGCAGAGGATTATGAACTGTTGAGGAGTGGAGACAGTGAGATGGGTGCCGGCGTGGATGTGAGCATCCGCTGCTCTCGCTCTCTCTCTCTCTCTCTCTCTCTCTCTCTCTCTCTGCTCTCTCTCTGCTCTCTCTCCCTGCTCTCTCTCTGCTCTCTCTCTCTCTCCCTGCTCTCTCTCTGCTCTCTCTCTCTCCCTGCTCTCTCTCCCTGTGCTCTCTCTTTCTCCCTGCTCTCTCTCTGCTCTCTCTCCCTGCTATCTCTCTACTCTCTCTCTCTCCCTGTTCTCTCTCTCTCCCTGCTCTCCCTGGTCACGGTTTATGTGAACAGCTGCCTTGACTCCCTGTTATGATGGACGTATGAGCTAAACAAAACCTTTTCCCCATAAGTAGCTTTTGTGGTATTTTGATCACAACAGAAAGAAAGGTAAGATACTGGGTGTTGACAGATGAAAGAGGACAAGGAAGACACATAGTCTTACCAGCAGCATCGACTTGTCATCCCTCCACAGAGAGGCAGCAGAGCATACAAAGAATGGCACTGGGGTCTCTGAGACAAGAGTGGTTGTAGAGATGGTTTCCAATTCCCCCACGCTCACTTTGATATATTAGGTCTCAAACCTATGAGATGAACACTTCCTCTGTTTTCTGACTATGAAATCTCAGTTACTGCACGAACCATAGGACTGTGGACTCAGTAAAGTGCTTGTTGTGTGGCTGTGAGGACCTGAACTGTGATCCCTAATGTCCCTTGCCTGTAAGCCTAGCACAGGTAAAGAGGTGACACGTGGTTCTCTGGAGCTTGCTGGCTGCCTGTTTTAGTGAATCGTTGAACTCCAGATACTATGAGAGACCCATCTCAAGAAATGTAGAACAATATAAAAAGACACTTGACATTGACCTCTGGCCTCTACCATGTATTTCATATGCACACATGCACACACACATGCACACACACACAAATTAGAAATAAATTATAGACCATTTGTGTGCCATGAAAAATGTTGATGCAATATAAGGTGTGTGTGTGCATACATGCATGTATGTGCTAACAGTTTAGTTGAAGGTACACTCAGAAAAACAATGAACAGTTACATGACGAAGAACATGAGGAAAGAATGTGATATTTAATTAAAAAATTAGGAACAGATGTGAACAGTAGAATTAACTGATGAGTTAGGAAAGGAAAAAAAGGAAAATATGAACTAGGTCCCAGCATTTGGGAGTCAGAGGTAGGTGAGTCTTTGAGTTCGAGGCCAGCTTGGTCTACAGAATGAGTTCCAGGACAGCCAGGGCTACACAATGAAACCAAACCCTGTGTTGAAAAACCAGGCAACCAACCAACCAAACAAACAAAAATACCCAAACAAACAAAAAGCATTAATTAGGAAAAAGAAAAATCTGTTGGAATATTGAAACTTGATTTGAATTAAGAATGAGATAATTTTAAGTTCAGTAGCCAGCCAAGAGAAGCAGAATGTAGAAGCGTGACCTCAAGGCTGTCATGGGCGGTAGAGCAGAGATTGCCATTTCCTGTGGGACAGAGGAGCTGCATTTCTTTTTTTAACTAACCATTAGAAGGCTAACAAATGGTGTGTGTGTGTATGTGTGTGTGTGTGTGTGTGTGTGTGTGTGTGTGTGTGTGTGTGTGTGTGTGTGTATGTTGAGACAGGGCTTCCATGTGTAGTCCCGACTGTCCTAGAACTCACTATGTAGACCAGTCTGGCTTCAAAATCAGAGATCCACCTGCCTCAGTTTCCTGAGTGCTGGGACTAAAGGCAGCCAACTATCACACCCAGTTTATGTGTAATTCTTTTTTTTTTTTTTTTTGGTTTTTATGAGACAGGGTTTCTCTGTATTGTTTTGGAGGCTGTTGGTCCAGCCCAGCCTTGAATTCATAGAGATCCGCCTGCCTCTGCCTCCCGAGTGCTGGAATTAAAGGCGTGCGCCACCACCGCCTGGCTTTATGTGTAATTCTTTAAAGTAACATTTGTTCAGAATTTAAAATGCTGGCACAGTCTTCTCACTGCTGGTTCTCTGTAGAATACCCAAGCTGTCGTTTTTGTATACTCAGAGGCTGCTTTAGTGAAGGCCCTGGGTGCATTTCCCTTGCTGGGCTCTCAGGGTGCTCTGAGCTCCGCCCTGCTCTTGAAATGCATATCTAATTTGTTACTGCTTGAGTAGTTCGTGCAGCTGAGGGCTCAACTCAGAAGGCCCTCATCTGTCCTCTCTCACCTTCCCATGTACAGGTGGGTGTCACATAGATAGGGTCATCCCATGATTTTCATTCTGACGTTGTCCATGATGTACCTATCTGCTGAGCTGTACCAGAACCTTCCTTCTACCTTTTCAACTCCACCTTGCTCCTTTCAGATCTAACTTGTGTTCCCATCGCTTTCCCCAGAAGTTCCCCCATCTCACTTTGAAGTGGGGATGCCCAGTGGATAAACAGCTTCCTGCATCTAGATGATGATATTGCCATGACTTGTAGTTCTGCTGTTCTTGCTGTGTTCAGAGCATGTCATACTTGTCTCTTACTCCGTATACTCGCTTTCCTGGTGTCATCTCAAAATAACTCTTTTAGGAATGCTAGTTTTTTCAGCTTCCCATAAAATAAAGCAAAATAATACACCTCCCCCCCGTCAAAGTACTGGGTAGCTTGCATTCATATTGACTAAATACTTTGGAATGTTTTTGGATTTATCATTAAGGCTCACATGACTTTGTATCTTTCTCTTGTTTCTCAGCTGTGAACGCAGTATCTTTAGGTAAAAATGGAGTTGTGGAACTGATGTTTAAGATCATTGGACCATTCAGTAAGAAGAATTCGGGTCTTATGAGGTGAGTGAATGTTTTGATGTGAGTGGAAGATATCCTTAGTCACTCTGAACGCCGTTGCTTGGATATGTATGTAGGCAGTTGAAGTCAGTTGTATCTAGTCTCTAGTTCCTAAGCAATGATTCTTATAATGGCAAAGATGTTCTTAATTAAAAGCTTAAACTTTAGGAAACTTCCAGTTTACTAAAGATAGTGTTTTTAGACATTCCGACTTTGAATGCTTCTAGATAGGAAATCATGGCCGTGTCCATAGTAGCATTCACTGAGACCTTTGTTGAGTGCCTACTGTAGTCCTCACCCAACTTGTTAATCTTCTAAAGACTGTTTATCCTCCTTCTCAAGATTACCTGACATGTCTTAAAAGTATACATGTCTATTCTGCCCAATCATAATTGTTCTTTTTTTTAATCTTTTCTTCTCTTGGGATATGTATGAGTATATGTTATATTGTGTGTGTGTGTGTTTCCATTAATTTATAGATAGGTTCTCTAACCTCAAAAATGAAGCACTCTGTGTTAGGGGTTATGTTTAGTGCAGTTTTATTGACAGGTTTTTAAAACTCAACAGCAAGGCTCACAATGTATCATACCCCATGTTCCTGTATGCCATCCTTGTCTTGTTGCTTATGCTACTGTAACAGTGCTGTTTGCATGCTTTATTTGAGACTGTTGAGTCAATCATAGATATTTTCTATGGTATGATTATTTCTCCCAGAAAACTTAACCTCAAACAAGGAAGGAAAAATAGTATCACTGCTTCAAAGATCTCAACAGTACTTGTCTCTTACTCCACACACTCGCTTTCCTGGTGTCATTAAAAATAATACTCATGTTCTTGGGTTGTTGTAGTGTCAAAAATTTACATGGATTTGTTTAGATAAGAAATAAACAAGTTACACAGATTGTTCCCCAGAATCTGAAGGGCGTTTGCAACTTTCTAGAGAAGTAGAGTAGTTCCATGAACAGCGGCCAGCCTTCTGCCATTGTTATTTCACCCTACTCCCTGTCCATATGTTGTATCTGCCTTTGCAGTTGATTTATAAATTCTAGAGTTTGAGTACTACCCGGTACAAACTTCTTACGTTGCCACACATTCATTTCTTTGCCCAGCACTATTAATAGTGGTTCTTAACTTCATTTCTTGTTTTCTGACTGCTGAAGAAATACCTTCTTAATACGTGGCTTATTAGTGTTAGCATTCAAATAAGTTTTATTTGTTGTTTGTATCTCATAATAATAGTATTATTATTTTTTGTTGTTTGCTTGTTTTTTTGAGACAGGATTTCTCTGTGTAGCCCTGGCTATCCTGGAACGTGCTCTGTTGACCAGGTTGGCCTTGAACAAAGAGACCATCCTATATCTGCCTCCCAAGTACTTGGATTAAAGGCATGTACCACCACCACCCAGTCATTATAATGCTTTAAAGATAGCAAAGAGCCCATTGTTCTGTTGTGTTTATTGAAGGGTCTGAGTGATGTTTAACATATGTCATGTTGTGGATTAGGTGACTGTATGTATAGGTCTTGGCATGCAGGTGTGTCCTCTTCACTTGGACTTGCAGCTTGCCTGCATTTACTTGTTAACATGCAGTTTGTCAGCCGTGATGGTGGTGGTGGGTGCTGGGTGCTGGATGTCATTTGTGGTCACTGTGCTGAGGCGTCTGCTGTCTGCTCGGCAGAGTCCCTTCCACCCGCTGTTGCATGGTTCAGGGTTGGTTCTTTCCACTGCCTGCATCTGCTGTGCTTAGGGTTTGTAAACTAATGCTGCTGTTGCAAGAGAGGCCTCACTGCTTCCTGATCTCCCAGAAGACCGATGGCAGGTGATTGACAACTACTCCTGATGCTGTCTCCAGAGGCTGCAACGCCTCTTGTGGCGTGTGTGCACATCTGCACACATATGCTCACATAGATACACACACATGCATACATATAAAACAATTAAAAATATAGTGACCATTGGGGTTGGAGAGGTAGCTCAGCTTGAGGTTAAGAGTGTGGTTTGCTCTTGGAGAGGTCCTGAGCTCTGTTGCCTGCACCTGTGTTGGTCAACTCAGCACCTTCTGTAACCCCATCTCCAGGGAATCCAGCGCCCTCTTTTAGCTCTGTAGGCACTGTACTGAACTGTCCGTACCACCCACACACACGATTAAAAGTGATGAAGGCGAGTGTTTAAAAACATGTCTTCTTAAAGAGCTAGCTAGGATATGCTTGTAAAGACAGTCAACATGAAGTGTTTGCCTGAACTTTATTCTTTTGGTACTTTGTGTTACTATTTTTAGTTATGCATATATGTGCATGCATGTGGGTACCTTTGAAGGCCAGAGGCATCAGGTCCACATGGAGCTGGAGTGACAGGTAATTGTAAGTCTCCTGATGTGACTGCTGGGAAACAGTCTCTGGTCCTCTGAAGTGCCAGCATGTATTCTTAACTGCTGATCCCTCCCCAGCCTCCAAATCTTATTTTTTAACAATGAGCATGCAGAGTATTTGGACCTTTTCTTTTTGTTTTTTTCTTAACAGTCAAAATAACTGAACGTGGTGCTGGGTGCCTATGATAGCATGTGGGAGACTAAGGCAGGCATTTTGCTAGTTGAAGGCTAGCCTGGGACATTGGGAGAGCCCCTCTTTAAGGAATACATAAACAAACTTGTACATATAATTATTAGTTTAGTATTTGGTAGGGTGGCCCCACAAGTTTACTTATGTAACCCTCATGCACAGTGCTCATAACTGGTAAAATAAAACAGAATAAAATGTTTGTGTCACAGCTAGGGAAACCCCACTTAGCATAGTGAGTATAGTGCAGTGGGCTGTGGAGGCCTAGAGGTGAAGTCGCCAACCACTCACCACCCCCCAGTCCAGATACATTACTTACCGTCAGTCTTCTGCTTCCTGGATATAAACATAGACTTGTCGTCTTTGCTATAAACTGCAGGGATTTAATGAGACTAGCCCTAGGAACACAAATGTGTCTATGAATACAGTATTTTGTTAGTTAGCAATGTGGGAACTTGAGTGTGGATGAACTCTAGATGATAGTAAAATGTACGATGTATAAACACAGCACTCTTTTTTGGATGGCTCTGGGGATTGGACTCATGTCTTTGTGTATACTAGGTAGGCGCTGTACTTGTGAGGTATATTCTAAGATCTGTTATTCATTTATATGTAATTTCCCCTTGAATATGTGTTATCTTTAGTGTAAGGACTATGACCTTCCTATGTAATATCTACATGTATCTGTTTTATTCATGTTACCACATTTAATATAAAATGTTCATAAGAGGAACAGAACATTTTAAAATTATATTTGAATTGACATGGAGGCCGGTGGTGCTAGAGGGACTACCCAGCCAGTCCTGGGTTCAGAATACAGCACCACAAATAAACCAGTGAAAAGTGTTGCTATAGTGGAACACATGGATAGTTTCAGGTGTTTCCATTGTAGAACAATAAACCTAAAACTTCTGAGAAAGGAATGTAGTTATCTAAATTATCCCTTTATTCTTTTTTTCATATTGGCATTTAAATTAGTGAGTGTGTGTATGTGTGTCTGTGTGTGTGTTTACATGTGTTGCTGTGGCCTGCCGTGGTATTCAGAAAACAGTTCTGGGGAGTTGGCCCTTGCCTCCGCCTTGTGGAGGCGTGGCCTTTCCTACTGGTCTTGCTGCTGCACTGTCCTCTTGGCCCCTCTGTGCTGTAGGAGAGCTGAGGTTGCAATCGCACACCACTGGAACAGGCTTGTGTGTGTGTGTGTGTGTGTGTGTGTGTGTGTGTTCCAGGGGTCAAGCTTGAGCTTAGGCTTATAATGCTGTGCTCTGAGACACTAAGGCCTCTCCCTAACCATCTGCTTACATTTTGATTTTCTTTAAAAGTTTTTTTCATTCATTTATTTTTATTTATTTGCATACGTGTGCACATGTGGTGTGTGTGTGTGTGTGTGTGTGTGTTTGTTGTACACTCCCATCAGTATTTTCCATGATGTTCATGTGGAGATCAGGGAACAGCTTGTAGGAATAAGCCTCTCCTTCCACAATGTGCATCCTGGGATTTGAACTCAGGTAACTGGGCTTATCAGTAAGTGCCTTTACCTGCTAAGCCATCTGGCTGTGTCTCTGTATTTTTTTAATTTATTTTACATACAGACCAGAGTTTCCCCTCCCTTCTCTCCTTGTGTTCCCTTCTGCCACCTCCCTTCTACCCCCACCCCTCACCATCCACTCCTGTCTCTGTCCAGAAAGGGACTGGCCTCCCATGGGAGTCAGCAAAGCATGCTTCATCAAGTTGAGACAGGACCAAGCTCCTCCCCCCACTACATCAAGACTGGGCAAGTCAACCCAGCGTGGGCAAAAGGTTCCCAAAAGCCAGCTCAAGCTTCAGGGACAGGTCCTGATCCCACAGCTAGGAGCCCCACAAACAAACCAGCTTACATAGCTGGCACACCCTTGCAGAGGGCGTAAGTTGGTCCCATGCAGGATGCCTAGCTGTTGGTCCAGAATTCATGAGCTCAGGTCAGCTGTCTCTGTGGACCTCCCCTCCCATCATGACCTTTAACCCTCTGGCTCTCACCATCCTTCTCTCTCCAGGAGCTTGGGCCTGTGCTTGGCTGTGGACTTCTGCATCTGCCTCCATCAGTTACTGGATGCATGCTCTCTGATGGCAATTAGAGTAGTCACCAATCTGATTCAGGAGAAAGACAGTTCAGGTACCCTGTCTACTATTGCTAGGAGTCTTAGCTGGAGTTGTCCTTGTGGATTCATGGGAGTTTCCCTGGCTGCAGGTTTCTCTGTAACCCCCAAATGGGCCCTCCATACTGCCTCCAACCCGCCCAACCCAATCTCTAACTAAACAAGTGAAAGACCTGTATGACAAGAACTTTGTCTTCGAAGAAAAAAATTGGAGAAGATATCAGAAAATGGAAAAATTTCTCATGCTCATGGTTAGGTAGGATTAACATAGTAAAAAAAAAAAACCGGCAACCTTACCAAAAGCATTGTACAGATTC